GGGCTAAGCCCCCCCCCACTTTTACTTCAGGGGGGGGGCTTTAGCCCCCCTAGCCCCCCCCTGTTCCGCCGCCGCTGGCTGGCACTACGTCATTGTTATAATAATTTAGTAGTTGTCGAGTCATTGCATAAAAGGTGCGAAATTTAAATTTTATCACGATATTTGCCGATGATTGGTAACCGCTACAGACAAAATACAGTGAATGACAACAGGCTACAGAAGCGGAAGAATTTTGACTGTAACGAAATTGCTTGAAACATTTTGCCCACTCCACGAATGGCCGCCATTTTGAAACTGAACTGCGAGGTAGCCTGCGGTGACAACCGAAAAAAACTAAGAAACGACAAAAGACAGAAAGCGCCATTTTATGTAACACTGGCTCTGTCGGTCAGTGCAGTTGTAGACTTATGGTGCAGCAAAAGAGGACACTACTATATAAAAAAGTCGCAGAGGCCTAGCGAACAGAGCGAAGGTCCAAAATAGCCTTTTTCTATCATATTACTAGCGTCAACTAAACCAAATTGCTATACCTTTTTGTTGATAAAACTTTACTGTAATGTTGTCTCCAACAAAAACATATTTGCTATTTTTGGTATCAACATTGTAGCACGTCTTTGAATCTTTATTTTCTGCCATAATTTCTGCAAAGCGTCTTCCAACCTTTGTGATGGGTCTTTCAACCTTTGTGATGGGTCTTCCGACCTTTGTGATGGAAGCTTATCGCATTAGAACCTGAAAAAATATTTTCGTGCGGAAAATTTTGATTATTTGTTATTTTTGTACGTGAATTTTAACAGTCAAATTTCATCACGATTTTATTATCCTCAACCATGTGAAACAAGAGATCTTTATTACCACGGGAACTAGCATTTTCGACAAAGCAAAAATATGAAATAATGAAAATAATGAAAAATTTCATGATCACGCGGTAGGGTGCGGTAAGCTGATTCGTTATCGGGGGAAAATATCGAGCTTGTTTTAGCAAAATATAGCTTCCTAAATGTTTGTGACATTATCAATTTATCATGTATAGTTTTAACAATGTGTGACTTTGACCGGGGATTTAAGACAACTTTACGTGATATTTTAATAATTTAAATGTACATCATATTCGAGCTATCTTATCCTTATTGGTTTATGTTTAATAGTTAAGCAATTGCATTGCATTATATGTTTAGGAAATATCTTTTTCGTAATGACGTCAAAGCGACAATTCGCAGTGCAAATGGTTAGGCAATGATTGTTCCGTAACACGTAAGCCTATTGGCATTTGACAACACAAAACGAATGTCATGAAACGGATACGTACGCGGAAGTCCTAAATATTATATAAAACTACATACCTTGATGTCGTTTATTTCCGTGAAATTTGTCCAGTAAAATAAGTGTTTTCCTTCCATATGCAACCAGTGATAATTATAGAATGATTCTCAAACGAAGCTGTAATAAATTTCTTCCTTTAATGATTAAAAATAAGGACATTTCCCAAATACGTAACCTGCTCGCACAGATCATACGCCACATAATTACATTTTTCCTGGTATAAGGTCGATGCATGGTATCGACTTACCATATTGACCATAAACCAATAAGTGGCATCAACTTATACCATATTGACCATAAACCCGTTCGTACGCATTTTTCACAAAAGTTGGAGACTTCAATTTATTTGTGATGACGCATCATGAATGTCTGACTTTTGACAACATTGGTGTGATATATGAAGTGTACACCACTTCCGAGCGATCTTATCCTTATTGGTGTACACTATCTTCAATGGTAAAGCCATTGCATTAAATGTAAGAAAAGCGTTACCACTTTTAGCAACACTTATACATGTCAAAATTGAAACTATAATACTGAATAAACGAGCAATGATCGCAGACAAATATGGAAAGAACATTTCTTAAGCTTCATTTTCATGAAACGGATATAAATACGAAATTAGAGTTCTAAATATTTTATACAACTACATACCTGGACGTCGAAAAGTTTCTTCCATGAAATTTGTCGAGTAAAACAAGTGTTTTCTTTCTGTATGCAAGCATGCAGTATTCTAAATCACGAAGCTGTAATGTTATGCTTCAATGATAGAAGAATGCAGGCTGTTTTTCAAATACGTCACACATTCAATAGACTTACCCCGCTATCTCGAACTGCATGCCAATGGAAACGAAAACAAAGTTAGAAAGCGGGGGTTCGATATAACCATATAACCGAGTCCGTGTCAGCGAGTCGTCGATAGATCGTTTATACGTGCGTGTTTATTTGAGAATCCTGTACCTCATGCATGTGTTCCGTCAAACAATGACCCAGTGCCTATATTCGCTGCCGAGCGGGAGCGAGGCAGCAAACTATTCTCGACACGTATGAAACTCGCGCCAGTCTCCTTTGCCGAACTATGTATAGTCGACAGAATGTCGATTTTAGCGACCGATGTAGGATGTTCAGTTTTGTGAGAAAAAAGACAGAAAAAAATAACGGTGCATGATGAGAATATGTACGACATGTACTCATAAATTATAATTGACGACTGGGTACGAGTCAGCTACTCTAGCACTAACATATCACGACCTATACTGTGCCGTACTGTCAGTTATAGGCGCATGTGAAATGCACCTAAATTTTGGAAGTTTGAAACCATTATACTTAAATATAACGGCTGTCTTCTACGACGGCATGCAAGCAGCAGTAATTTCCCATTTTTGTTTTTCATCTCATGCTTGCAGTGCCAAGCTAGGTACACACGTAAAAACGCACAACTTGTAACAAACCTGCAGCAGACTTTTAGCAATGCTGTTCCAACAAAAATTGTTGTCGCACTGCTTGTTCCCAGCTTGTTGACAATTTGCTACAACTTGTTATCGTCCTGCAATTCAACAACTTGTCAACAAGTTGTGAGTGACAACCTTGTAGCAACTTGATAAAATAACAACATTGTTACAACTTGTTGTCAAGCTTGCTACAAGCTTGTTGCGAACACATTTTGTTGACAAGTTGTGAGATTTTTACGTGTGTATGTTTAACTTTGTAAATTATAGAACTCGATTCGTCAAAGCGCGAAGAAAATCCCGTGTTTTTTGGGTTGTTTTTTTTTTGTTTGGGGGCAGAAAGCAACTCTATCTGTGTGTTATTATAAACTGTCTCAAGTTGGGTATCAAATTTAAAGCTGTTAAGTCTCGTCAATATTCTAAAGTGTAAGACAGCTTCATAATTCAAACTGTATGGTATATTCATATTGCTATAGTTTTTAAGGATAAATTGACGAGGCATACGAGCGGCATAAACGTCGTTTTGTAAAGCTATATTTACAATGTCAACGATATCAAATGAACGTATTATCATAAAGGCTTAGGGAATAGTTTGCGTATTTCTTACAAATGCATTGCTAAGTTGTCGTTATAGGCCATGTTTTTACGCTGGATGTACAGCATGTTTCGGGGATATGTGGTGAATGTGTTGACCAGCCAAACATGTGGTGAATGTGTTGACCAGCCAAACATGTGGTAAATGTGTTCACCAGCCAATAAAAACTCGCTATTTGTCTACATCTTTTCATTGCGTAATTTATCAGCTTTTCATGTATTGTAATACAGTTCAGTGATCGAGTCTCCTAAACACTAGCCTGCGTAGCAGGAGTTTATTTGCTTGCGGGAAGCAACCTGCCCGGGGCAGCACTTTACCTTGCAATAGTAACTTCTAGTATATTAAATAACATACACAGTGCATGTGACACAGAGTGTAATGCCTGAATGTCAGTCCCAGTAGAAGTGATTATTATGCGAAAAAAACGTACGGTGATTATTATGCGAAAAAAAGTTATTACTTACGGTGATTAATTAGTATGCGAAAAAAACTTTCAATTGTCTACTGTTGTCGTTTTCCTGCTGTGTTCCGACATTTTCTGATGTTTATCTATGAACATCCTCATTAGAGTTCGAGATATACATGGGGGTAAATTTCAGTCAAGGGGAAACAACATTTATTCGAGATAGTGGGGTGTTCGAGATAACCGAGTAAAAAGATATAAAATTGTATTAGCAAAACCAAGGGAAATCGGTTACAGTTTGAGATAGCGGGGTTCTACTCATGTGATCACAAAATTAAAGTCCAGGTCGTGAATAAGGGTATCAAAATAAACTCTAATCGTACAATAGGCTATCTTTAGTGCTTATAGGGCTATAGGTACTCAGTGAGTGGCTTACGCAGGTCGCTTTCTGATATGTTTGCAACGAGAAAAAATGACTAATTAGGTCGACGGAATTGCATAGATGAAAGTAAAAATTGTGGGGAACCAGGAGTCCAGCTGCCTCCTCCGCAGGTTGTAATGAATTCCTAATCTCACTAAGCCCATTTTCCACTAGGCGAATTTTGTTCGCGCGAACAGTAAAAAGTAGGAACTGATCCAACTTTTTCGCAATTCCATTGCCAGTCAGGCCTTAAAATATCGGTCGGTCACGGACATTGTCCGACCCATTCGTGATGTCCGACGTATAGAGGAAGCCACCGGACATTCTGTCCGACATAAGTGAAACTGAGGTTTATTGTTTGTCCGACCCGAGTGTATTGGTGTCCAACCGAACTGTAGCTTTGTCCAACGTAAATCAATCCGTAGTAAGGCTCGAGTTAAATGGAAAATCACAGAGGAGGTTGGACAGCTAATTAGGCGAATCTGGGCGAATCTCTCGACCAATCAGATTGCGCCATTTTCCTCATGCTCGCATGAAGCTTTTGGCATCGAAAATTTACATAGGGCTCATAAATATCGACTTTTTTCATATTGTTATGCACATTTTTTTTGAAATTTCACGCGATACTACTTTTACAACAGTGAATCTACCCATTGGAACGGTATCTTGAAAGGTAAGCGTTATTTTCCAGTTTATTTTGACCTCTCACTTTAGGCACTATGCCGTCGCGATGTAATTTAATGGCGTTTCTGTCAACAATCTTTGAAGACAAAAATCTCAAATTTCCACGGTTCGATTTCGCTATTTTTTTCACGATTAGTTAAACAAAAGTATAATCTTTAATTCTATCCAGCCGGCCCCCCTCGGTCCCGCAACCGTTTTCGAGATATTCACCGTTGAATATAGCCCTCTGTAAAATATGTTGCCTTGTCACTCAGATCGATAATGAACTGCTATTACTCGCTTTTTTCTAAAGAAGTGTGATATATTATAGAAGTTTCGATATATTATGGATTGTATATATTGCAGTTAAAGTGTGCAAATAATTAAAGCCCTTCCGTAACAATATTTTACAAGTGAAATTTATTGTTTGGCTGATGTTTTAGATTTGAGATTCGTGATTTTGGCTGGATTCTATTTTTGTCAATGATTTTGTCTGCAAGAATTAAGCATCATCATTAAATTTGGAGGTAAAATCGGTCCTTCCAATCTGTACAGACCTTCTACATCTGCAAGATCTCCGATGCTACGATTGTCTCTCCATCGAGTGACCAAAACCTTGTTCACCTTTCTGGTCATAATATGTTATTGGATTGTCAAAACGAACCCAGTGACAACCAGAATAACTACTCAATCCACCTGTTTCAAAAATGGCTGGTAAAAGTTAACCCTGGTTTAGATGCTAAATTTGTCCCTCAAAATTTTCTCCCACTTGTTGCCAAGGCTATGTCTGTACTTCATGCTGGTCAAAAAGACAATCTGATTTATCACACTGCTCGATGCTTTGGAGAACAATGCCATGGAGATGTTGGTCTGATGCCATTGGATAGAATGCCCTTTATAGGAGTGAAGGCCCACTTGGCCTTTTTTAACAGTATTTTGTAATGATGTTACACAACTAATTCAGATAAAGTTTGAGAAATGGTGGTTCTTTCAATGTTAAGCCCCAGAGAGGGGGGCGGGCATATGTGGGGCATTTGTTTTTTTTAGCAAATTTTCAATTGAATGCCCTAACTCAGGACCAAAATGCTAATCAAAATCCCCGGAGTGGGGATGCAATTGATTATCAAATACCCCACATATGCCCACCCCCCTCTGGGGCTTGACATTGATAGGTGCAATTATATGCAGGGTTTTTTTGTATTCTCATGTAATGTACCACAAAGTATCAGCAGCATGTTATTGTGGGACCTTTGATCAATATGTATATAAATAGACATATTTTTGTTTGATTGTTGCATTAATTTTACTGAAAAATAAAAATTACTCACAAAGTTGGTCAAGTGAATTCATGTATAAACTATTTATTTCTTCATTTAGTACAGCACATGTTACAATTATGTACTTGTCTTAATTGCATGAGTGTGCATGACAGACATTGTTTTATTTTAATTGTGCACACCCACTTATGATTAACCTAGTTTTTGTTTATGAAAATCTAAAAAGTTACCTAATTGAAATAAGATCATTTCTATAACTTGCTAAATCTAGTCAGTTACAATTATATCACAAACATCTGTCAACGTACACTTGTGCTCTTTCTTACCACTTGAGTCTCCCACTCACCACGTCGCTTTATGAAAATTTTTTGATAAAATCCTATTTTAAAAAAGTTAACCCTATACTTGATATGCTGAACATAGACCTCTAACATATCTCCTGTGGCAATTAGTGAGTGCAAATACTCGCATAGTTGAGAAGCAAGATAACCAATGTGTGTCCATCCAGTTCCATAGTCTACATCAATTGCAATTGCACTTGGGTCCATTGGATTCAATGGCTCTGGCCATATTCTTACATTCACTGGTTTATCTTGTCCATGAAGAGCAAGGTATGCTGTTGATGTTGGTAATTTTTCTCATGAGCAGCACCAATGCACTTGAATGGTACAGCATGGGTGATTTCGCCCTCGTCACTTTCATCCTCATCACTTAACTGGTCACCACTTTCTGCCCTATCACCTTCATTACCATATCCATGCTGACCAGGTTCAAGACCAGCCAACCACTCAAGTAGATCTCTTTCTACAAAATCATAACAAGAAAATTTTTATTTTATTACTTTGTACATAAACTGTAATCTCTAAAATTAGAAGTCTAATGCAAAAGTGTGTCACTATTTACAGTAATATTTATAGAACAACACACAAATATGGCAATATTTTACAGATGAAAATTGAAAAATATCACTATTGTATGCACATATATGTAAAAATCTATCCACAACTAGATACAAACAGGCATATACTTCAGCAAAAATTTATTAAACAATTTGTTTAACTCAAAGCATGTACATATGTATCACAGTGACACAGTACACAGACACACACAATAGGGTCAAACTAGAGGCATTTATAAACACAAATATTACGCCATATTAATTTTGTACTGCAGTGTATTTATAAAATTACAGTACAAACAACAAAGCGGATAATAATTTGACTAAATAACAAGGTAACTGTAATCCATTGTAGTATACCAACCTTAAATATTGCGCTTGTTTTCACGTTGATGATACACGGAGATTTAACGTCATCCAAGTTAGAAAGAAGAGCCTCGCTATTGGGAATATAAACATATTTCCTTCGCTCAGACGCATTATTTATCAAGCTAAAATGACAGCCATGTCGCACGCAAATATTTAAAAAAGGTAAATTTGGTATAGTAAAACACAAGTCATAATGATGATCGCAACAATACAACAATAACATGCTGTTTCTTTTCACAAAGTATCGCAGCCTGACACTCTTGTCGTTCGAAAGCTTCCATGTTGGTTTAGTCAGAGAGATGTTCACTCCTCGACAGTCAACAGTCAATGAAGTCACGCGCGGAATTAGGCGCTCAATACCCATGATGCTTTGCGGCCTGCTGTCCAACCTCAGAGGACTATTGAGTATTGTATAAAAAATGAACTGGAAATGTTGTTTTAACGTAGCTAATCGAGCGCGGGGCGGCGAGCGAAATGGTGAAGTGGAAAATGGGCTTAAGTTGTCGAAGTCTTACTGCTGTTCTTGCAAGCAAGTTATTTTTGGCTTGGAAATAAGTATGAATGACACAAATTATTTAATATCTTCACAACATTCACCGTTCAGAATTAATACATTGTGCTGATATTCATCTGTGTCATTCAGACTTATTTCCGACTCAAAACTGAACTGAAGGTCATCGGACATATGTCCGACCCAAACTCCAACCTCGTTCCCAGGGTATTTGCTCTTGGGAAGCAAAGAGCAAATACCCTGGGAACGAGGTTGCCCAAACTCAACGTCATCGGACATTTTGTCAGACGGCCATGTAAAAGATATTTTAAGGCCTGACTGCCAGTATGTGTTTTTCGCTTCCCGCGAACAAATTCGCGGTAGAAAACGGATTAAAATGGATTTCTCGACGTTTCGTTTGGCCCTTCTTCAGAATGCTATTAAAGTGAGATCTATATATACCTGGAGTAAGTGAGGTCTATATATTCTGGAGTTATTGAACGCTAGTTTCAGTCCCCTCGCAGCACTTTTTTGTTGCCTCCTGCACGGGCCCTGCTACACCATGGGAAGGTCAGACACAAATTCCAGTAAAATAAAGATATAAAACATCGTGAAAATACGGTCAATGATTATAAACACTTTTAGAAAACTCGTTTTATGCGCCCTAAGCTAGAGCCCTACTTTATTATTTTACTCCGTCTAACGCCAGACGATTTTACTTGTCAAGAGGCTGAGTGCTAACACTCAATGGGTTAAGCTATTTTTATCTCTATATAACTGATGAAAAACAAAACATTTTCTATAGAAAACTGAAATTGAACGGTAAATATATAATATTGACATATTACAAATACAAGTGGTGGTAATTAATTAATTTTTTAATTAGATGCAATTACTCTTAATTATATATTTTAGGCAAAACGAAATGATTTTTACAAATTAATTGGATTATTACCATTTAGTAAAAGGAATAGATCACACATAAAAATTACAACATTAATTTCCATTAAAAATACTAATTAATACGCCAAATTACCATGTTATTTATCTGTCTGTACAAGCACATGAGCTTTCATTTGGCCGTTATATTTGGAATAGCCAAAATGTTATTAAATTTTTGCACTTATTATCAGGGATTTGTGGAAATACGATTTCCATTCAGTAGTGTTATTGAGATCAGTGTGGTTTGCAGTTTGCTCAGATGCTAAAGTTTAATTCTACATCACTGTTGTTTGGGAGTTTTTTGAATGCCACATCCATGACAAACAGACATCTTTTCCCATCTTTCAATCTCTACAACCACATCAATCCTTTGCATTTTATACTGAAGAATCTGTTTAAGAGCCCCAACATTATGACTGCGATCGGATGTTCCCCACCTGCCGAGTGCCTTCTTCGCAATGCCGATTCCTCCTGTCCCCGTGAATTCCTGTGCAATTGAGTCAGCCTCAATGTTGGAGAAGCAACCTAAAGCGCTCATAAGTGGTGTTTTGCTAGTATAGTGTAAATCGATTAGATCGCACATTTTTTGGAAACAACCATGTTCGATTTTATCAATGGGCCACTTGTCACGGCCGTCGGGAAGCTGTGTTTCACTGTTCATAACGCACTTGCCGCACATTTTGTCGGTAGTTGGGGAGGTTGTTGGGGAGGTAGTTGGGGAGGTTGTTGGGGAGAATTTTCTAACGGTTGGTGGCGTTTCGGCGTAGCCTACATTTTTTTCACTTGTTAATGATACTTTGCTTTTCTCTTTATATTCATTTGTTAATACTTCGTTTTGGACCTTATTCCCGCCAGGGTTCCCTTTCAATGACAACCGTTTTGTGAATGATGATAGTCTTTGTCTCGTTTTGCTAGTTTCTTGTTCTGGTCTTTTTACATCTGCCGCATCTACTAGATAAATCGTAAGATATAAAAGTTGCTTCAGAACTAGTTATTAAATTCCAAAGTGTTTTTCTATAAATTCATTCGTTCGAACACTATGTTTATATCTCATTAATATTTTCTTCATTTGTCAGTGCTTTATACCGACTTGGACTTCGTACTAGAGTACTAGACTAATTTTAATAATCTTCCTGTCAAAATTGAATCGAGTCATTGGATTGACTTAGATTGAATATTTTATTTTTTGGGACATCCGGTATATAGGTGTAATACTGATACTATATGATTCCATCAGTTCTAAACTCAGTTTTTCATCCAGGCATCTGCACCTTTAAGGTCCAGACACACCGGACGCGATTCGACAACGCGACGCGATTTTTCGATTTTCACTGAACGATAACTTTGATCCTAGTTTAAATCATCCAAATATTTAGAAGCGCTATAACATTTTGACTTATTTGGTCTACATATCTTTCAAAATTTGCTCTCATTGGCTGTTTTATTAACTTTCAAAAACTAAAAAATCGCGTCGCGTTGTCGAATCGCGTCCGGTGTGTCTGGACCTTTAATTAGCCATGTTTGCGAAGGTGGATAAACCAGGAAATATTGTTTGCGCAATGTTCGGCTGAATTATTGGCAATCGGCGAAATAATGGAAACTTCAAATTTTTTAAATGTTCCCTAGGCGTTGCCCCGAGTTCAACCCATTCAGTTGCATTGCACCCTAATGAGTAATGCGCTGTACTTTATCATTGTACTATGTTTAACGCCCGTCAAGGAGCGCTGACGTTCATATATGTCTTAATTCCCATGGCCATGTGTCTAGTTAAGAAAAGTGAAAATCTAAAATACCGGCTTCGCCTTGAGGCTGTCCTGTAGTTTCACACCTTGACGGTTCCTCCACTGAAACAGAACTGTTTACATACGCTTCACTTTCTTTCCGTCCAGCCTGCTCGTTCGTTTCTTTTTTGGCGACTATTAACTGTGAACTTATATTTTGTTGAAGCATACTTGTATCGGGGCTGTTAAGAGGTCTCTCATTTTCTGGAGCCATAGCAACAGACTTGCTGGCTGCCAATTCTGAAAAAAACCCAGAAAATGCCAATCTTAAACCTGTCTTCATCTCCACTGAGGCAACAGTAAAAAAAAAACTCCGGACAAATCTATACTATTCATGACTGATTGCATTTTTAAAACCCTGCCCCCCCCCCCCCTCCCCCTGAAGGGATTTCCATGGTAAGGGTTAAGGCAAATCTGCAGCATTTCCACAACATGAGATTGAGTTGGATATTCATTAAAAATCTGCGGAAACTCCATGGAAGGAGGGACCAAAAAATCCTTGTCGTCAATAGGGAGAGGTAAGGTTTAAAAATGCGATCAGCCAGTGTTGAGAAGTGCCACATATTATATGTACCTTCACTGTTGCACATGTTCAGGCCCATTTACACGGGCGATTTTTGCTTGCGATTTTCTTCTTTTGGAGGATGTGAAGGAGTAGATCAGTTATAAATGTTCCACGTTATGAAATCTCATAACAACATCATTACGTCAGTGGCGTAACTACTATGGGCTCAGACCGGGAGAACCCGGGGGCCCCCAACCCCAATGGGGGCCCCCAGGTTTAGGCGATAGAGCAAAAACATTGGCTTGGGCCTCTGATATGTTACAATGTCGTTTTCTGACCATCAGAATTCTGTAAAATATCTCCCCAAAGTCCTGGAAATGGCATTTCAGAGAGTCTAGATTCAAAAATTATCCGGATGAGCATGCCCTGGACCCCCTAGAAAACTCGTGCATATACGGCGCTCAACTCGTGCCTTTGGCACTTCTACTAGGGGGGACTTCGAAAATTTTGACCCGGGGGCCCCCTGATATAACGTTACGCCACTGCATTACGTAATCTACTCCTTCACTCCTCCAAAAGGAGAAAATCGCAACTAAAATCGCAGCAAAAATCGCCTGTGTAAACGGACCTTTACGTTGTATCTCTTTAATTGTCAACTGGCTTAATAATTCGCTGACATTTGCATGCTTTTGTAATCGGTTTTCACTAGTTTCCATCTACCAAACTGACATTTCGTAATTTGGTCAATTTCTAAAGTTGTTTCTTTCTGGATTTTTTCATTAATTTGGTTGGGGTTAGAGTTAGGGTTGCGGTTAGAGTAGGGGTAGGGTTTGGGTTAGTTACATAGCCATTTAACACCCCTTCTATCTTCTGAAAATGACGTCACGTCAATTTCACAGATGGAAACTAGTGCTAACCTTTGTAATCTGTCAATTTTGCTCTCTGGAAACAGGTGTCGTTAAGGGGGGTGGGGTGTTAGAGGGACAGAGGGGGACATTGGTAAAAGGGAGAGTAGGCAATTTAAAAGATGAGACCCTTTTCGAACTATGCCATTGGACCAACAATGTTGGACGGTGTTGGTCTCATTTGAACGAGGCTTTATTTCCTGATAGTTTGTCTTATGTGTCTTATCCCAAGACACAAGTTTGCCCAGTAATTCACGTCAGTACCAACTAATGAGGTATGTAAGAAGATTGTGCAGAAATACCATGTACCTTCAACATTGAACATATTAGGGTGTATCACTCTAATTTTCAACTCAACCTCTGCAGGAACTTTATGAAGGATAAGTTTATAGATCTCTGCTAACTTTTTCCCTTCTACCAGTCGACCATCCACTGCCAACAGTTCATCACCTCTGTGCAACGTCTCGCTTGTCTCTGTGTCTGTACCAGGTTTTATTTCCCATACCAAAATATGGTCTTTTCTATTGCCATTTTCTTCCTAGAGAAAAAATAGGTACACGGTTGCGTACATGAGATAGCTGTTGCTTTTGTATTTTCATTGGCTTCAGACAATCATAAAAATTTCTGGAAACTTAAAGCTGTTTTTAATTTCAACCGTATCATAACGTGTCGTTACATGAATGTGTTTGTGTGTTTATTAAGTTAGTTTTAGTAGTAATATAAATATCTATATACAAACTAGTACACACCTGGCAATAAAAATGAACTAATCTAGCTCTTTTCTGAAAATCATTTTCCTTTCCCAACTTTAAAGTCACACTTTTCTTTGCACCCCACTTCTTCACAAATTTGGACATTGGGCCAACAGCCTTCTTTAATGACAACCACACTACTTTCTTTCCATTTTTGATGAGGCGACTGAATTCGTCACTTGGGGAATTGGTGGTTTTCGTGCCATCCACTTTAAAGATCCATTCAAAACGTTCAATGTGGCTGTCATGAGCAGGGTGATTTTCTTTAATGCGCTTTGTTATATTGTAATATGTTTCTGTCTCTGGATCCTGTAGAGCGCACAGTAGATCAATAAAATATTTCAATTGTTAGCCATTTATAAAATATAACCTTATTACTCCTGTTAAAAATTTCGATCTTGCTAATTCTTTTAGTGGAAATGCATGTGTTCCCACATCTCTAAGTTTTAACTTGTTAAGAGTTCATCAAGTGTTGGGCATGAATTTCATGAAACATGTGTGTTAGTATGCATATATATATTTGGAATTATACAAAGGTGGTGAAGCTAGCCATACAACAGGTCATGGCTGCTATGCGAATTATTAATTATTTGCATTATCTTTTACCTTATTTAGATGCACAGGTTATTAGCATAGCATGACCATGCAGTTGCCACTCAGTTATGGTCCACCCATGTAACCCTAGGCTGAGCCCTTAATGACAATATGCATTAATTAATAGCCTGACCCAGTGAAATGAATACTGGAACGCTACCTCCAACCAGAAATTTGAAGCCGAATTTGAAAGGCATGTGGAGAGCGTGCGGCCAATCCGTCAAAATGAATATGTATTCTTGAAAGCCGGCTCAAAATTTACAAAAGAAGCTTTTAAGTTAATTACAGCACTTGCTCAAAGCTTTCTATAAATGCACTTATTCAGGTAAAACTTCCTAATAGACTTTGCTTTTAGTTTTTTCTAATAATTGTTTATGAGAGAGAATCGACACAGATCCTGGCAGATTTGGCTTCAGTTTATCTGAAGATAGCCATCCAGTTATATCCATGTCACTGGCCTGACCATAGAAACTGACCTGAACTGTAATAGTTACTAGGCCAAGACTGACATCTGGATCTTTTCGATGAATGTCAACAGTACGTGGTTCATCCCACAGGAGAAAATCTGGCCACATCAGGCAATTTCTTTGACCTTCCTCCAATTCATCCCATTCTATTCTTTGGGTATCCATGCTGACAAATATTGAGGGCGGGTTCCACTAAGTGCAGCTGGTGGTCAACCAGAATGAAAAAAAAAACATTGATATATGATTATTTTCATTAAACTGTCTTGCTGTAACCCCCTCCCCCCCCAGGGGACATTAATGCAGCAAATCGTATCCCAGGAAATTGCTTATTGATGATTTTTGTCCCGGGGTACAGGGTGGGAATGTGTAAGATCTCTGTGTCCAAGCTCAACATTGGTGGGAATTAGACATCAGATATAACATACTGGCACAAAATATATTTTTAGTTTTACAAAATAAACTGGCTGTTAGCTATGAGACTGGTATAACCATCTGCAAAAACTATAGTCCTCAGGAAGCAAACTGTAGTTTCTTCATGATAGCTATAGGAGTCAGCCAGGGGGGTTCGTGGTATCCTAAATACCTGACAAATATGGATCAAAATATAGCTATTAATATGGTCAAAATGTTACAAAATACCTAAAATTGCCACAAGGCTCTATACCTCATCACCCATGCATAAAAGAAAGACATTTTGAAGTTGGCTGGCTGCCATCACTGCCACAAGTGTCTAAATATAAATTCCGAAATGAAACTTAATATAGTGATATTCAAACACTGTGAACTGGTACTGGGTTCTTGTTGGGTCTCTTGTTGTTCAATACACTTTTCTGCCAACTTCTTCATGTGATTCATATTAACTTTATACAATATATAGTCTTAAACGTCTGTGCCATATTGAAGGTAGTAGCAACGATAACAAGAAATTAAGCTGCGTCATACAACTACCTCAGAAATACAAGAAGAACTTCGCTCGAAACGTTGAATTTGTTTGTATGACCTTGTATTATTCTGTGTCGTTATCATGTCGGCAAGTTAATTTTTAATACTGCATATTTAATTAAACCAAATCGAAGGCAAAATGTACTACAACGTACAGTACACAAATGGGTCCATTTTATTCGTTTCCTTGTCAGTGAAGCGTTGATTTCTATTTTCACTACGCTTATCTTGCATATATATGTCAATAATTTGCCACTTTTATAGGAAAACCACTTAAAAACTGTCGCAAGTATTAGTTGCATGGTCAGTTCTATAAAATACTATAAGGCAATTACAAACCTCAACGTGAGAAAATCTCCTTGTTTATAATAGTTGCCAGCAACTTGGTCGTGAAGAGCCAAATAATTTCTCCCCTTCTCTTTGCCAAATAATTTATCCCCTTCTCTTTGCGATGTTTGAAATAACGACGAAGCGATGAGTCAGGGATTCTAAATTCAGCAATGTATATATAGTCATATAGGTTAATACGCCATTCAATACATGTATGTAAATATTATGTCATATGACCATGCATGAGACCAGTGGTCATCGCCGATTGGCCGGAAACAATGGAACTTTCCATTTCGAAGGGAAATCCCCAAACAGTTTAATATGTCTAATATTAGTAACAAAATTAAATATATTGTAGGACTTGTAGCAGTCTAAGACTAATGTTCAAAACAATACGTATTTGTGAAGGTATGCATATTGTCCGGTTTCGTAAGATTTGCAATGAATACACTCAAACAGTATTAAAATAACTAAATAACTGCCCGGAATGAAAAAGAGAAATGTAGGAATGACAAAGTGAACTTAGTGAAGCGAAGATTATTATTGATTACTATAAAAGTTAATAAGTTATTGTAAAACACAAGTTACTAAGTAAACCTTTCGTAGTTTACAATACCAATTGGCAATTCCAGCTTTTAATTTATGCGTGCAGGGGATGACGGGAAGTAAGGTATCATATTGCCAATTATGCTAAAATATTTCAATATTTGCAAGTATAAGCTATCATTCCGTGTTTACACGGCCACCATTGTTATTTTTTCAGGATTATCCGCAATAGGATACCTTACTTCCCATCGTCCCCTGCACGCATAAACTAAAAGCTGGAATTGCCTATTTGATATTTTGTAAATTCATGCCCATGCGTACCCTGGATTCCAGAGCCTTCGACAGTAAATAATAAATTGAAATGTTGCGAAGGCTCTGGTTCAACGGGGCGATTCTTTGATTAAACCGCGCCAAGTACTAAAACCACTAATTCTGTTTTGTGATTGGCGCGGTTTAATCAAAGAATCGCCCCGTTGAACCAGAGCCTTCGCGACATTTCAATTTATTATTTACTGTCGAAGGCTCTGGAATCCAGGGTAGCCCATGCGTGGGTGGATGTTTTTAATATTGATAAAAATGATGTAGGTAAACGTTATGTAATGGATATTATAGCGTACCGAAAAGTTAACTGGATACCTCCATACACACATATACACACCCTAACCATAGATTAAGTCTTATCCTAACCCAGCCTAGTCCCAGGCTCTCGCGCTGAACGCTGCTCTAAGTGTTTTATCAATCTCGTTCCCCGAGCCTGCGATCCTTGGGAAGGAAACGAAGGCTCTGGGATAATCCATCTCAGAAATGAATATGATTGGTTGCTGGTATACAATGGAATGTTGCAATTTTGCAAAAATTAATTTTTAACCGTATATTTTTATATACAACATGGCGGCCGTTTAGGAGTGTACGAATATTGTTTTGGTTTTCCAGAGCTGTGCTATATACTAATACTACAAAGGCAGGGCCGTCGCGAGCGGGGGGGTGTGGGGGGGGGTGCTTCACCCCCCCAATAATTTTCGCAAGTCGGCCACAGTCGGCAAATTGCTTCGTTACTGTTCGGCAAATTGCGAATTCGGCATTCAGCAAATTGTAAAAGTTAAGAACGAAGGCGATAAATAAAGCGATAAATTTTGGATTTAAAATAATGGTTTGTGTGGCCTTATAACATTTAAATGTATTTCTATTTTAGTCTTTTAATTGTCGAAAATCGACGGGAGGCTGAAATGTGAAACCCACGTTTCCGGGCATGTTCTTCGCTCGACTGCTCTTATAGCGAAGGCTCGTTATCAATTATGCGCGGTTCAAAACCCAAAACTGAAAAAGAATAAAACTTTAGTGTCTTGAATGTAATTCGATTTTTGACGACTATAGAAACTTTATTATTTATTTCACGAGGGAAAACGTATTAACCATAAAAGTTATCTAACATACGGCCCGACGATTACCGTAAGAGGCACGAGCAAACTTGTCATAAGGGAAACCGAGTGCGAGTAGCACATAAAGACGTACCAGCTAATCCGTTTGAGACTGCAAAGCGCAGTCAAAGCCAAAGAGAATATTTTGAGTCGTCAGAGGCGCAAGATTCTCAAGAAGACTCCACAGGCACATGAGAAGAAGACCAAGAGAAAGACGAGCCATGCCATAAGAACGGACTTGTCTTCTTTAGTTCTTTAGCGAAATTACTGTTAACTCTGATCAGCCTACAGTTTTGAAAGACATACCGCATACAGCGATCGGTATCATCGATCGGTTGCATATGATCATATCCGTTTTACTCGCTTTCTGACGCATAAAATTTAAACTCTTGGAAAATCGGGTCGTACAAAAGCCCAGTTAACACTATCCGGCAGTAAGAGTTTTAAGACTGCTCAAAATACAAAAAATATTATAAATTGTCTATTCAGCGCCTGGGGATAAAAAAGGTCAAATTCATCAAATTGCCATGAAAATATTGAAACAAAATATCAATGCAATCACATGCAGATACTTGGATACCCTGGTTCCTGAGGTTTATTCTTATTATTTTCATTGCGAAGGGGAGAGGGAAAATAAACCTCTGGTTGAAAGCGGCAATTGATTCATTGAGCTGCGCCAATCAGTTTGAATTAGGGTCAGATCCTGACTCTGTCTCCTGACTGGATGATTGTATTAAAGTTCTCTGATTGGTTCAAATAGAACATCTATAACCAATCAGAGAGCTTTAATACGATCATCCAATCAGGAGACAGAGTCAGGATATCTGACCCTAATTCAAACTGATTGGCGCGGCTCAATGAATCAATTGCCGCTTTCAACCAGAGGTTTATTTTCCCTCTCCCCTTCGCAATGAAAATAATAAAAATAAACCTCTGGAACCAGGATAATACTTGGATAACTTTTCTGACTTTGCGGAGATGCGCGTCTGCACCACAGTCTAAGACACTCGTTACTCAGACTATATGCACACGGTACCGTTCCCGAGCGTTTTTCGGTTTTTGGTTGTAATAGTTAACATTCACCGAAGCACGTAAACGAACGTATATTCAGTTATGTTAATTTGCAAACGTAAGAAATTGAATTCTGATTGGCTCCACATGTAATATGTGTAAATGAGACCATAGAGATGCATATTGTTTGTAAAATGTGCGAATTCTAAAGACTTTATCATGTTGTCAGTTAATCACAATTTCGATTTGAAGCTATGTCGACATGTGTAGTCGTGTAGATCAATATTGAGTCTAGAGATTGCCTAACGTACTATCGCATCGTGCGAAAATATGTTTGCATATACAAAGTATTCATTCTCGTGCAGACATATGTCAAACTATTTGCACAGAAATGTTTGAATCGTAAACCTTTTCCAGACACTAAGAGTTACAAGAGAATACATTAATTAGTCGTTCAGCCTTCAAGGTCAAATCCCAAAAACAGACTGGCCATAAAAAATTTCAAGCGATCCCATTTTCTTCTATCGATTTTAAATTAAAATCGTTTCACTCTGGCTCGCCGTGTTTATATGCATGCTTCAATGCTGAATTATCATTGATATGTACATGTCCTCGCTATAAATCTCATAATGTCATGATTGATTCATGAACGAATTCAAACTCTTCACAAAATTAGGGACCGTTCATTATTTATACCTGGGGTTGGTACCGAAGAGAAGCGAAAAACACTGTACATTTTTTAGTTACCCAACCTCATCATTGGTCAAAGTAATGTTTACCCAACCCATGTGTTACTGTACTTCATAATAATTAAACACACAAGATTATGGTGACAGAAATCAAGTTGCCTAAACTCTAAAAGCTCACTCACTCAAACTCACTGAATGTGTCAAAGCAATCGCGTTTCTGCTGATCAATGATAGAGTCCTTCCTCAATCATTGATGGTCTATTTTGGTACAGAATGTATTGTACACATTTTTCTTCATATTTTCCAAAGCATGGTAATTTTGGTTTTATTTTATTTTATAGCTGACAAACAGCCATAATTTGTTTTACCCAACCCATGAGCTAGTCAAAAACTTGATTACCCAACCCATATCTCTTCGGTACCAACCCTGGGTATAAATAATGAACGGTCCCTTAATATGTTTGGCTTTGGGAATCGAAATATTTACGAAACATACTGTATTGAGTATAGACATCCGTTGCAATTTTGCCCTTTGGGAATTGTGTTTACTTTCAATCAAATTCATATACAGTACAGCATATGATATGGCACGAGACTGTCGAGTCATCAAATTCCATTGAAAATGAACTAAACTTTCGTGTACAAACTGCGGCCAGGTCGACTTCCAAAGTTATATCAGTTAACATTCTGCGGATATTCTGAGTTTTAGTTTACTAGGTAAAGAATGGCATGCATCAAGCGTGCCAGTTTTTCAGGGAATGAGCGAGACCTCTCGAGTTATAACATCTCATGCATGCAAATTTCGCGTTTGCGTTCCGTACGTAAGCAATCGTATGTAAATCACCAACACACTGCCAACTTTCGTGCGAATAAATTATGCCAAACGTTTATCCAATAAGAGCTTGCTATTATACGGTTGAGAACGGATTGAATGCTATCAGTCAATAGGGAACTGTAGTTTTGACGATTGTTTCGTTCAGTAATGAGGCCTTACGTTCGTTTACGTGCTTCGGTGCATGTTAACTAATTAATGCGTTAATTTCTGAAACGTACGTTCTGTTCACACGAAAACGTATGAAAACGACGTCAGGAAGCAAAAACGTTTCAAATAGTGAAAACGATGCCAAACATTCGTTCTCTATGTCTGAAATGTTTGGTCGTTTTGGCACTTTGTTATTGTGTAAACAGAAAAGTAGAAGGCGAAAATGAAATTCCGGGTTTGAATTTGGAAACGAAGACTATAAAAAACTAGTGCTTTGTCAGAAAATGTTGCGAGAAAAACGATCAATGTGAACAAGGCGCCTAAACGCTAAATTTGAAAACGGCACTGCGAAAACGCTCAAAAACGTGACCCGTGTGCACATAGTTTCAGTCTCGATTTAGGACTTATGAAAACACAGTATAAATTATGTTAAACTTAAATTTTTTTCAGCTTTATATGTTTAATATAAAGCAACAACCCACGAACAGGCATCCATTTCAAAACAAGAGCCATATTGGTGTCCCTCAGTTACTAGCACACCAATATGATTCTCATTACCTATATCTAACCTTTACAAACTTTTGAAAAACTCGGCAAATTCAACTAGCGTCACTCGGCAATTTGACCTTCGACACCCCCCCAATCCATATCCCTTCGCAACGGCCCTGTACAAAGGAAATGCAAAGAAACGTATACTTAATGCGTATAATATCACAACAGTTAAATGGAGCGTGAAAACTTTACTCATATTTGTATTGTACAGGTTTTCTGTAGTTTTAATCTATACATAGTATACAGTACTGTCAGTACACTGTACTATTTGACTATAATATCAAATATGTGCTATATTTTGCAAATACTATTTGTGTCAGAAATGGTTAATAACTTTTATTAATTTGTTTTTGTGTTATTTAATTGCGAAGAA